CTCCCGCAACCTCCCTATCACCCGAAGAGTGGTTGTGTTTGTTGGCCCTTCCCAAATTAAGTCGAACCACCCTTGCCCCTCGTTGCGCATGTTATTCTAGCTTGAATGTCGCGCGAGTAGCCGCTTGGCTCAAAGGGGTGGCTCAACGCACCTGGGGAAAGCAGTGTCAGGGGGATCTACTGCGCGGGATGGTGTTGGTTGCGCCGCCGCTTCGTTTTGGGCCCCAGCCACTGGCGGGAAAGCAGGCGAAACCTAGGCGCGCTGAGGGGAGGCCGAAGCCGACGGCCATGCGGGCGACCCAGAAGAAGGCCGAGGCACAAAAGACATTTCAACATGTTGTGCGCTCCTCGCCGCGAAAGCTGAGTCCATCGAGGGCGTCGTCGAGGCCTCTCCCACGGAGGCCGCGGTCATGCGCGGCGGTCAAAGCGACGAAGAGGTCACAAGTTTTGAATATGACGTCCCCGCCGCTGGCAAGAAAGGTTCCCACAAGTGGAAAGGTTTCGCAGACTCTGTCGCGAAAGCGTCCCCTCTCGGATGACATGCTCCAGGTGTTTGACGGGGCCACTTCCGAGGCGCAGCATCTGGAAAGCCATGCGGGTTGCAAAGGTTTCTGCATCCGGTGCGATTTGCAGAAGCGACCTAAGGTCTACGAGGCGTGTACCCTCTACGAGGGCCGGTCGTGGTTGTCACGAGGCGTTAGCCGCGGCATATGGGGCCTGGGGTGTAGGATCTGCTCTGAGTTTGCGGCATCTGGCAACCAGTGTGACGGCGCCAGGTTTTCAAAGTTTGCCAAGTTCCAGATTCGCCCGAAGACGAGCTTCAACGCCAGGATGCTGTTAGAGCGACATGCCAGCAGCACGTCGCACAGAGTGGCCTGTGGGATTACAAAGAGAAAGGGTTCCGACATGTTCGCTCAGCCGATTGCACCACAGCCTCTGGCGTGCCCGACCGTTTGGCCAACCGAGAGGCCATGCGAGTCTCTGGCGACTGAGTCTGATTCCAGGCTGATTAAGGGAAACGTACCGACCCCATCGGAGTGGAGAGACGCGTGGGCGGTGCTATCAGAAGGAGTCTCTCTCCGGAAGGCCGCTCGCGTCAGCGATAAGAGAAGCCGCGCGCCTGATCCGGCGGCGACGCAGGCGAACAGAATACGGAAACGCCAGCGCCGACAACTCCAAGTGATGGCGGAAGTCCTGAGGAGAAGGATCCGCAAAACGCTGCTCCAGGCGACTTCCATCTCTTTGGCCATAGATGAGTCGAAGTACCGGAAGATCGTGCGGTTTCGCGTCGACCTCCCGATTGCCGCCTGCACCGCAGCCTCTGGCGCGCCCGACCTCCCTTCTGCGCGAAACAGCGGCGCGGGCCTCCACGTGGGGAACGTTGGCGCTTCAGGATTTTGCGCGTCCGGCGTGTTAGGCCTCCTCGACTGCTCGAAAAAACACGCGTCCGACTTCGAGGATGACCACGCTGTCACTGCGGTTAAGCAGCTCGATGACTTTCTTACGAAATTCTGTACGCCGCTCGGCAAAATAAAAGGCCACAGGGGAGCGCAGCCGCTGGCGTGCGACCAGAAACTGAAAGCGCACGTGCTGGGAACAGTCACCAGTTTCGCTGCCGATGGCGCGTCCAAGGAGCGGCGTTCAGTCTTTCTCGCTGCTCGCGATCTGTTCCCTAACTTGTTAATCGTGATTCGCGACCCAGCTCGCGCCATTCGCATTGCCTGCAAGTCGATGCACTGCGACGACGTGTTTGGGCAGGTATGGAAGGAGCTGTTCGATGATCGGCATGCGCTGGTTCCTGACCTGATGAATTCTACCAAGTGGCACAACCTTCTGGTGGCCATCCAGGAGGACAACGTGCATGCAGTGGCGGTGCCTGGACTCCCTGGAGGGCCCCAGCCCCTGGCGGGAATCGTGCGGAACTTGGCGTTCGCCAAGCAACGCTTCGACTCGACGGCGGGCCCCGTGTTGAAAATCGCTCTCATGCTTCTGCCGGTGGCAACCTTGCTGGCGTACATCGCGTCCGACCGTCGCCACGATCGGGAGCAGCGCGAGCGGGCAGGCGCCCTGTTGCGGAAATTCGATACTAAGTTTTGTATGGCCGTTGGTGTGTCGGCGGATTGGGGGATCATATGCAACTGGTTCTTGCGGCTCTTCGACGTCGCCAGCCACGACATTGCGAAGTCGCGTTCTGAGATCGACTGCATGGTCGAGACGTTGGACGCGGTCTTCATGGGCGTGTCTTCCAGACGGTTTTCCAGGCCGCCCGCCCCCCCGCGGCAGCCGCAGCCTCTGGCGTGACCGCCCCAGCTGCCGAGGAGCCGCTGCCGCCGCGGCTCCGCGCGGTAGGGCATGAGGCGGGCTTTATCACAGAGACGGTAATGCGCAATCTCCGCACCAAGTATGTGTTCTACGCAGACGGCGCCCCCTCGATGCCATGGGGGGAACCAGCAGCGGCGCACAAGGAGGAGCTCCTCCACCGAATGCAGAACGTGGCGGGATTGACAAAAGAGCGCTTGCTCCAGGACTTCCCGCGGACTGACGTCCGCTCGGCGCTGGCGATGTTTGACCGGCGTCTCGTGCAGAAAGGTTTCGGCCCAGTGCCTGATGTTGAAGTGCGGCGGTTCCTGTTGCGGGGCGCGCGCCAGCTGGCGGCCCTGCTCGGTTGCGACGAGCAGGCGGCGATGCGACAGTGCGACGGCGTGCTTCCCTACATGATGGAACAGATGGAGCCATCCCAGCCACTGGCGGGGGCAACTAACCAGCAGGCGTGGGCTCGCGTGCTCGACGATGACGTTTGGGAGGCGGCTTGCCCGAGGCGTCTCCGCGGGTCTTCTCGCGTGCTCTGCCGCCTGGTGCGTTTCTACATCTCGATTGAAGACGGGGAGTGCACCGTCGAACGCGACTTGGCCAGATTTCGGGACCAACGGGTAGAGCACCGCACCGATGATATCGCCTTCCACGACGACGGCTTAATCGTGAAGTTGAACGGGCCGAAGACGGCGGCTGATTTCGACGAAGGCGCAGCTCGCTCTGGACTGGGCCTGACGTCCTTCTCCAGGGAATGCGCCAGCCTCTGGCTGGAACTGTTCGGCCATCGGCATGGGCATTACAATCCTCACGCTACTGCGGCGGCCAAGTTAAAGAGGCGCGGTGCGCCCGGGCTTGTTCGAGGACGTGTTCGGGCCGTTCTTGGGGCCGCCCGCCTGGCCGTGGCTGCCGCGCGTCTTCGACGGGCGCGGGGCCAGTCTTCGACCGCGGTGCATTCTGGCGCCGGCACCGAGGCGAGCGCTTTGTGGAACGATGGCATGGGTAAGTTCCAGGCGCGCAGCCGCAAAAATACACCAGGCGTCACGCAGGCGCGGGCGTGTTCAGGGGCGCCCTTCGCGAGTCCGCCCGGCGTCCACCTGGCTCCAAGACGAGGTGCGACGACGCAGCCTCTGGCGCGGCCCTCGCCGTGCAGCAAGGTAGCAAGCCTCGGCGGCGCGACCGACACGTGCTCTGCGAGAGGTTGCGCTACTGTCACTGGCAGACACCGTTGTGCAGAAGCAGACCTCGTCGTCGTTCCAGACTTTTCGTTCCTCCACGACTTGGGTGCGATAGCAGCCAGCGCGGACCTGACCGTCTCTTACTTTTACATCGCGTCGCTGGGCTTCGACGTCGTTACGAAGACACACCTTGTCTCTGCCCAGTGCCACCCAGATGGAATTCCACTCGGCCACCGCATGCGCCACGTTCCAGCAAACCAGCGCGGGGAGGTGATCCATCTCGCGCCAGGCCTCGTCGCGGGGCATCCAGACGAGAGGGCGGCGGCGCGGCGCGTGGCCCGCAGAGCGGGGTCGAAACTCGCAGTGTCGGAAGCGCCCCCCCCAGCCGCT